CGAACGTACAGAGTAGAGAGGACGTTAATATCCTCCAACTTAGGCTGTGCTGTTCGTCGAAAGTAAGACATCTCGATCGCAACGAAGGTGTGAACCGTGTATCAGTTACGTCTGTCATTCGCTATGGCTTTGATTGCTGGTGGTATTTCACTACCGCTGCTTGAGGACCATCATTCAAGTGAGGTACACAGGCTTCGTTTCAAATGAGACAATGCGAATACTTTACGGTACATACCAAAACGAATTCCACTGCTCTGGGTGGCTAAATGTCGTTTCGTCATTTGTTGTCTGGCGCTATGAGCAACGTACACATTCTCGCGCAATACCCTGACCATAAACCACCAGCTTGATCGCAGTATGCAGCAGGGCACAATAGCTCTGTGCATTGAAGTACTCAATTTATTGACGACATGGTAGCTTTCTATGTTTAGGTGAACTGCCATTATCCATTTTTACGGGGTGCTTAGCCAAGAGAAGTCATATCACACGCACCTCCATAAGGTCTTAAAGACAATTTTTTAAACTATATCTTTTACACAAATTCTACATTTACAGAAAAGTGCAAACCTTTTTCGTTTTTTTTAAAATTCGAAAACCCTGCTTCTCAGACACTAATAGAAATTCGCGAGCGAATCGAGGTGTAACAGAGGCCCAAGGTGCAAGCCATTGGGGGCGAATCTAGAGCATTTTTGGCCTCACTGTCGAGTGCGAGTTGAGTACAAAAGTAGCACGGCAACTTTAAGGTATATATGTACCCCACCTCAACATATGCTTACTAGATCAATAATAGGTTGATAAGCAAGAGTGTTTAGGACTCTTATATATTGTCAGATATAAATTTCGAAAGAAAATACAGCTACGTTGAATTTGCCCACGTAAGAGTTTTTTAATGGTGCTGCTACGACCTTGCTGGCGGGGATTTTCTTCCGGCCTTTAGGGAGTGGCGTTCGTCTAAAGGATCACAACATATTGGCGTAAGTACATGAAATTAATGTGTGCCAACTGGTTAAAATTAGCAGTCATTTATTACTGTTCAGATTGTTTTACTAAAACCTCACCACTTGATGTTGGGCTAGCCGACGCCTTCCGATCTCTTTTTGTATGCGGTCGTGAGCCTTCTCGCATGCGTTTTGCAGGCTTGTTCGAGTTTTTGCCGAGTAGACCGTTAGTCGACATTCCACCGGTTGAAAACTTCGGCATTGAAGTCCGTACATGGACATTGAAAACAAGTCTTGCCTAGGACCAATTCATACAATCTGCTTTCGTTTAAGGTTTATTTACCAGATTGTCTTCGATAAAAAGTAATATGGTGCGTTATTTCTTCATGAAACAAAGCGGCAAATACACGAGCAATAAATTTTGCCATCCTGTCCCCACCAAATGAGGACAAATAAAGGATGTACATGTAAAGAACCTTTTACTACAGGCCGACGGCAAGGTCATCCAGAATTGCACCTAATTGGTCGAAATCAATTCCTGTGGTCGACTTAGCAAACGGCAGCCATACAGACGCGACCGCTTGCGCTCCAACAGGACTTAAACCTTCCATGTCTTGACACAGTGCTGTGATTTGCATCTGGACATCGCACATTTGAGTCATCATCTGCTGGATCGATTGCATAGTCCAGTGTATTTGACGTTTGTTGATACCTCTCCCATGGAAGTGCTGCCGACTGTGCCCTCTTATTATGTCCTCTCGGTCACGAGAGAAAATTTTTTACTACCACAGGGTGGAGAATCGCCGGTGGGCAATGTGCCACTGGATCCATCGTCGTCACGAAAAGATAATTTCAGACCTTATGGATGATGATGATGATGGTGTGGAGGAGGATAAGGGATATTTGTAATGTCATATAAATGTGAACCATCTTTCTGCCTCTATGCGTTGAGAACGGTATCTGTCAGTAGGGACCTCTGATATCTTAGTCTATAACCCAACGGGGTTAGTGAGGCATGTATATATGTCACTGACAGTCGAACGGAATAGCGGTATCCTGCCATTTACGTTGATATGCAAATCACAACTAGCTTAAGTTAATAATTCATCACCAAGTATTTTACAAAACGCTTGCACGTCTGGTGGCTTGCCAGCACCACAATATATTCCTACAACAAACAGTTGACTGACGGTGGGTTGCATTGTCCCACCTACAATAACCGAAAACAGTTGTTTGCCAATACGACTTTTTTTACCTATAATAGGCCAAAACCGTCGTTTAGTTTTCCAGTGAATTGGTAATCCAAGCAGTGCTGCACCAGTTATGGCGATGGGCAGTGGCGAGTACTGTCACATAGATCTGATAAGACAGTCGAAAGAGCAGGTACGGAGCCTTGCAGTTAAGGGTCAAAATGATGAAGTAGTTTTACTTATAACAATTTATGGATTACGGATGCATAGGAAATCTCATTCATAGGGGAAAAACGGCAAATTTTTTTGATCGTATATTTACTGCTTTATTTAGCGACGAAATAACGCAGTACATTACTTTCTATGGAAGGCAACCAAGAAAACGTGTCCTATACGTCAGCAAAGTATGCGATATGATGTTAGATAGGCCTGCTTTCTATGTGCATTTTCCAGTGAAGTTTTCAACCGGTGGAGTGCCGACCAACGTTCTTCTCAGCACAAACTGGAAGAAGAGGACTCATGACCGTCCATCGAGGAGGATTTGTCTGACGGGTACCTTTGCCTCGCATTTTCGTCAATTTGTCGTAGGGTTTCGTTGAGACTTTGGTGTAGGTGGCGTCGATATGTGCGATTTGACGTGTGTTTACTCATCCTACACAAAAAATTGACAACAAGGAAAAAATGGGGAGCAATAAAGGAACAACTACGTTAGACAGGATCGGCGTGCCCATGAAAAAGTGATCGATCGGGAAATGACGCATGTTACCCAAAAAGTGTGTATGTGATCTGCTTTGCCACGCCTGCAGTTTGATAGGTTAATCGTATTGACCGTTTAACCTGTCATAGTGCCCGAAGTCCTTTTGGCCGTAGAGCACAGAAGTCACATGAGCGCGACGCCGTGTTAACCAGTGAATGCACGGGTTCAGCTTGGCCGCGAAAATATCGGACTCCAGTCTTGTTGCATTACTATTAGGGTAGTAGGTAATGTTAAACCGTACCTACGGTAGCCGTAGAGTGACTGCTGATAGCATCCTGACCTTTGAAGCTGTCCCACTCA